TGGAGTCTCTCAGTCCCTCAGCAAGGTATCCAACCACAAAGTTTTCTGGAAAAGAGGAAAGAATTGCTTCTTTCTCAAGCCTTCCCCTTTTACTAAAGAGATCCTGCAAGGTCTTTCAAAGAAGGCATATGGCTGTGAGAATGCTATACTGGTGAGCCCTACATACAGATTGTGGTGAGGATGTCCTTTCTCCTATGAAGGTTGTGTGTCTGGGCATCCCAGGTAGGCAGACTTTTAAATACAATTTTTAAATACTTACATCATTTGTAAGGAAAGGTCCTGGACAGTGGACCTGGCTCTGTCTCCCTCAGTGCTGTATTTCCTTAGAAAATATTTCAGGAGAGCAGCAAGTGAAGCAGTCTTGACTCTCACCTGCTCCAGACAATAGGTATTGGTAGAGACACCAGGGAACAGCTTCAGGAAAAGAGACTGTCAGCAGCCTTATTTTTGTTTTGTTTTTTTTTGCATGGTGGCTCAGTCAGCTCCTCACAGTGTCACAGAAGTGATCCCAAACACTGAGTTGGGTTTGGGTGGGAGTGGAAAGCAAAGCAATTCGATTTTTGAATTAGATCTCCGTGAATCCAGAGTGACTCTGAGGGAATCAACTTGCACCGGCACGGGCAAATGGGTTCTGTTTTTGACAACTGCATGTTTGTCATCGTTGTTATTAAATGATGCCTTTCCATATCCCAGGCCTATTTTTAAAACAAAGGCAATGAAGTTTGAGCATCCAGTTCTATATATGGACACTCCGAATGGCGCTGAAATGCCTCATGCATGTGTTTGGCTGAGTGTTGATTTGGGTGTCCAAATATGGACCTCAGAATGGGATATCTCACTTGGATAAGCATCCTTGCAAATTTGGCTTATGGCTCTTATTTGAACAAAGCAAATTTATTTCCATCATTTAGCACACACACACACACACACAAAAACCAAAAAACCAAAAAACCAAAAAAACACAAAATCCTTTCATTTTATGGGACCATCTTATTCATGGAATTGAGCTAACCAAATGGCAAAATGTGTAGCAGTTCTGGGAAAAAAAGAAAAAAAAAAAGCCCTCAAACTCATCTAGGACAACAGGAAGGTAATTAATGCGGAGTGTTTGCAGCAAGGGCAAGGCTTGCTGGCAGCAAGCATTCATTGCCAGCAGAAGGATCCGAGCATCTTGATCGCAGCAAACTCCCCCTCTGCCTAGCGCATGATGGGGTTCACATGGGGCAGATTTCAAGGTCTTGAGGCAAAGCCACCTTTTCTGCTTGTGAGCATAGCCTCTGCAGCTCCTAACAGCACATGTGCAATGGCTGCTGCAGGCAGAGCCTTCCCGTGCATCTCCCAGTACATCAGGATTTTCTTTGTCTGCCTCCTTAATGGTAGATTCTCTGGGAAAGGGCTTGGCTTGGTTATTGTGAATTAGTCCATAATAAATAACATCAGTGGCGAGCGAGAGCCATTCTGCAGCCCTTTGCTGGGTTCCTGTTAATTGCAAAGGACCTTCTCATGTCCTTTGTGTAATTCCACTCATTTTGTTGGCATTATGCAAGGGGTGGATTTGGCCTAAAAAACAGAGCAGGTTTCTTTTGCATAATGTATCATACCATTTGGTCTACATTTCGCTGAAGGTTTATGTGTGCTTGGAGATTTCTCCACAGATACGCAGCTGTAGATATTTTTAAAATAGCAAACAATGAACCAATTCAACTGTCTCAGTCAGTTGTTCATATTCCGAATTTTGGGGGGAAAAAAAAGCATAACACAGGAAAATTTTCAGGAAAGCTAAGGTAAGTCTGTGATCCTTTGGAAAACCCCAAATCAACTTCAGCCCCGATCACTTTCTGCACCTCTGCCATACCGATTCCGCGTGTGGAAAAAGCGGCTCACAGGAGAGACAAAGATTTCTCTGAAGAGTCTGTTGTTTTTCAGAAGAGTGAAAATGTGTGCTAACAATTCTGGACCACTGACAAAAGCAAAATCAATACATGCGGCCTTGATTTTATAGCCAAGTTCAGATGAATAAATAGAGATGTAGCAAGCTGTTTACTAGCGAGACAAGCTCTGCTCTGCACACCCTTCCAAGCAGCGTGCCTCTGCTGCTGTTGTTTTCCTTACATGACTGCTTAATGAAATCAAGTCAGAAGTTACAAAGCTCACCGGACATTTCAACTCCCTCTGTCAGCAGCACCGGCCAAGAGCTGGGAAGCAAACACCCTTCTGCAAGACAGCTCAGGGCCTGCAAGCATGTTGATGTTGCAGAGCTGGGGGCATTTGGGAGGAGTTTGGTTCTTGAAAGAGCCTAGGCTTGATTTCAGGGGGAGTTCATGCATTGAAAAACCACATCCTTGCAAAAGGCATGTGGAACACACTCCACACATGGGCCCCAAATGCATGGGCATGAGCACACTGTGCTCACAGATATCCCCTTGAAGGGAACGAAGCTGCGGTCAGAGCAGCTGACAGGGCTCTCCTGTGTATTTCAGGGCCTGAATCTCAGTGCAGATGAGATGCTGGGTTTTTTCCCCGCACCTTGAATATTGCAAAAGCTGTGATATGATGGAGGCACAAAAATGGAAGGGACACAGATATGGCCTCCAGGATCACTTACAATCACAGAATGGCTTGGACTGGAAGAAACCTCAAAGCCCGCCAAGTCCCACCCCCTGCCGTGGGCAGGGCTGCCGCCCCCTGGCTCAGCTGCCCAGGACCCCATCCAACCTGGCCTTGAACACCTCCAGGGATGGGGCACCCACATTTCTTGGGCAGCTGTGCCAGTGCCTCAGCACTCTCTGATTAAAAAATTTCTTCCTAAAATATAACCTGAATTTCCCCTCTTTTAGTTTAAAGCCATTCCTGTTTTACTATCACTAACAGACCGTGTAAAACATCAGTCTCCTTCCTGTTCATAAGTTCTCTTTAGGAACTGAAGGGTCGCAGTGCAGTCTCCCCACAGCCTGATGCAGGCTGAACAAGCCCAGCTCCCTCAGCCTTTCTTCACAGAAGAGAGGCAATCATTTAGGCACATTTCTCAACCTTCAGAGTGACCTTTGTGTCAGCAGTGACCAGGCAGGTAGAGGAGTGAATAGCTGCATGCACGAAAAGAAAATAATAATAATAAAACAACAGCACGTTTAAGTGCATTTTTTTTCTTGGAGATTTATTTTGTTTTAATAAATCTGACACCAGTCATGGAGAGAGAAAAGTGTTGCAAGCCCAAAAGGAATGCAGAGCACACAGAGGGTGCTTTAGATTCTTGCTCTCTTGAAGATGTTTCATCGATGTCTCTTGGAGTTCTCTCCCTTGGCTCAGGAGCTGTTGGATCCCCCCCCTGCCCTTTTTTTTCTTTTTTTTTTTCTTTTTTTTGTGTTTTTTTTTAAAAAGCGAGCTCGCTCGCCCGGTGTGTTTTCCAAGCTTTCACAGCTCTAATAAATAAGGAGCACCTGTAAAACAGTAGCTTGACTTAAGTGAATCTGTACAAAGGAAAATATAGAAATACAGTATATACATAGTGCTCACAGTGCACCGTCGCTACAAGGCTCTGGCTCAGCTGACTCGGAAACCCCAGTCCCAGCACCGCCAACACCATCAGCCCCACTTCTGCCAACTGCTCTCATTGCCCCGCAGCAGCCTTATAGAAAAGGTGTGCTCTGAACACTGGAGAGTGAACAATTGCTTTATTGGAGTTAGTAAACAGTTACACTGTATCACAAGGTGATCTGATTATTTTTTTTAATTTTTTTTTGTTTTATTTTTGATTTTTTTTGTGTTTTTTTTTTTCTTTTGTGTTTTTTTTTTTTGTTTTGTTTTGTTGCTTTTTTTTTTTGTATTTGTCAGAATGGGATACTCCACGACTCTCTTACCAATTCAGTGCCAGTATAACATGCTCTAGTGTACTTTTGGACTCTTGGCTACGACTGTACAAGTGCACACAAGTAAATTCTACCCTGTTATCCTCCACCCACTGATTGAGGATCGAATTGCACATTTCTCTTAACCATGACAGGAGAAAGCAAACAGTGAAACAGAATCATGAGGGATCTTTCTCACTTTACCCTTGTTTTCATTGGTTTGTCCATACCATTCTAATTATCATGAAAGGGCTATGCATATGGAGAGATTGTCTCACTGCCTTCCTGGATCACTGAAAACCATCAGGGTTGAAATTTCATCCGAGTCTTTCGTGACGCCCAGCAAATATTCCCCTCAGATTATTTTACACCTTGAGGGAATTTTGGTCTTTAGTTCAACACTCTTGCTCTGTTCCCAAATGGGGCGCTATTTAGGGGAATTTAAAGAGAAAGCTGAGAAGAATAAACATTTACTGAGTTCTCTTGGCATTCAGTCTCTGAAAAACCACAGTATAAACTATTCATGCTGCTTCTTACATCTGTCAAATCAAAAATTAAAAGCCATAAAAGTGTAACACTGAAAATATGGCATTAGAAAGGATAAAGGTGGCCTTTGTAAAAATAACAAGGAAAGTATATTAGCCAATAAAATATTCTACCTCTTCATTTAAAAGTGCATCGTGGGTAGGACAGAGATGACTCTGAAGCGTTGCTACTCCAGTATTACCCCTTTCCCCCATCAAAACTTGAATAGGTCCAAAACCATACAATGCAAATCACGATTCTTAGTGTAGCAGCAAAACCACAGCAGTTTTTCGAAGAAAAAAAAAAAAAAAAAAAAAAGGAAAAAAAAAAAAATCCATATCACTGTCCAGTCTCAAATATCTGAACTTTGAAGTCAGGGAGGGAAAAAGTACCTACGTTGGTCCATGTGGTTTTTGAAACCAGGGTGAAAAATCCCCACAGCAAGAAACCAAGAGGAGAAAGCGTTCCTTGGAGGAGAAGAGGGGCGATCGCGGGAATGCTGAGCACACTGTGTGGGTCCATGATGTGCTGTCTTCTGGGTCAAAGGCACCCGTGGGACTGAGGCTTCCTCAGAGGGACTTTGTGATGGGAAGCTGCTTTATTTGCTTGACTTTTAGCCAGAGGGGTGGTGAGCGGACCAGCTGGTGTCGTTGGATGGAGCGATGTGGTTTGCTCTGCTCCCTTTCTCCATGCAAGGTACCCTGTAGGCGAGCATTCCTGCAAAGCAGACAAGGACAGTGTAAACGCCCTGAGCACCCAGACCACTATATCTAGGGTGAGGAGTGACATTTGGGCTTCAGGGCAACGTGCTCAGAGCCTTGTGTGCGGAGTGCTGAGGACAAGAACTAGACTGAGAATTGGGATGCGTCCACTTCCTGAGTATTCTTCATAAAGTACAGGGCTGCTTTCTGTCACTTTTTGGCTTGAAATCTCGTTCTGAGATTAAGAAGGGAAGCAGTGAAAACAAATTCTACATCCTCTCTATGAAACCTCCCTCTGTACTTCAGGTGCTTTGTCTGTTTCTTAACATACATCAACGAAAATGACTGTCCATCCCTCACTAGTCAGCCTCAAATGGCTCAGCAGAGTGATAAGTGATTTGGGAAGGAGCGCATGAGGATGCTCCTTGGCTCCCAGTGCTTTCTGTGAGGAGCAGTCAGCTGGCTCTGTGCAGCCTGTTCATTTTCCCCCACTGCAGATAGGCTCCATGTAACAGAGCCCAGGCTGGAGAAGCATCTTTCCCGGTGATTGGTTCCCATGACAGTCATTGTGTTTGATGAATGCATCTTTGTAGCGATAGGGTGACAGAATAAAAATCCTTGTCAGACACAGCATGCAAAGTTTTATAAAAAACAGAATAAGTACTGATCATTACCATTTCACAGTCAGATGTTCTACACCTTGTACCAACACCAGTGTGCACGGCCAGCACAATGAAATCAGCTACCTGTATCTTCCCCCCAAAACAAATGACTTTTTAGTAAACAACACAGGCTTGTCACTCCAGCTGAACTTGCACCCAACACTCCGCAAACATTGCTGATCAGATAGAAAAATTGCAATGGCTACAAAAGGACAAATTTTTGTAATTATACAGCAACAGAGTTGCTTATGTGGGTTGCCTGAAGAGGATGCACGGGGTTACACCTGCTTTCCAATGCCAAACAGTGTGCTGACTCGGGGCTGGAAGACCACTCTGAAGGCAGAGGCAGGCTTGGAGAAGATGATAGAAAAAGAGCAAGCAGGAAGGCTGCCCACTGTCAGTGCGGGTGGGGGGAAGGAGAGTAGCTCTGCTGAATGATGACCCAGTTCAGACAGGTAACTTAGAAGGTTCACCTGTGTGGGCTTGGATACCATCAGGGTAGGTGAAAGCTGTGCTAATGCCCTGGCAGTGCCAGCAGTCATGAAGAGCTGCTCCTATCGTGTCCTAACTTCTCAGGAGGCCATGCCATTGACATGGCTTCAGACATGTGTGCACTCACACACTGTTTTTTTTTCCATGGCTGTTTCCCTCTCGTTCTGCACTCCATTGAATGCTTCTGTCTCCAGATTCACATCATATTGTTCAGGAAAAAACAATGCAAAAAATGGATGCTGGGTGGGGAGGGGCAAAGCAGTCACTGATGTGGGCTGGCACGGCAGACTTTTCAGCACTTAATTCACCCAGACAATGAATGTTGATATGCTAGAGGAGGCCTGGTTCATCTGGGACATGCATGGCCCTGGAGAAAAGACACTGCAATTCTTTTCTCAGAGAAACTACTCTGAAAATAAACCACAAGAGTGCATCTGAAGTCAGCATGGGAGCAAGCTCAGACATGGAAACACTCTGGAGTCATCTGTTACTTGTAATAGTTCTGTAATTTATCCTATTTTTTTTTTTTGTCAACTATTCTTAAAGCTTCTTCATTAAAACCTTCCCCTTAGAATACTTGATGATTTATCTTCCCATGAAGTCAGGCTGCCATATTGCAAGAGTCAGGGGAGGCCTTCAGCACAAACGGGATAACAAGTTGGCTCCTTCTGCACCATCCCTGGATTTCGAGGGTGGTTTTTTCTTTCTGCTCTGCTCTTGCTAGCTATGGATCCTTCCTCACTTTCAGTCATATACACAACCTGTGCTCTACCACCCACTGGAATGTCCCCTAATCGTCAGGTCTGAATTTTCCTAGACATAACAGCTGTCACCAGGAATTCATGCTCCAACGTCTTGGATTTCCATTTTCACACCTTGAGTGTCCTTGTCCTCCTTACCCAGAGCAGGTGCTGCCTTAGGTACTTCAAAACATGCCTGGAAGAACCTCTCTCTCCACCAGCCAAGGTGGACAGATAGAGAGACTAGTCTTGGAAACTAACCCAAGTTGTGAACCCACATTTCAGTATCAGTGCTGTCAGGTTTCCTTGCTCTTGTCAACCTTCCATACCACCTTCTTATACCACTTTCTACTTTTCACAGCAGCAATTTCCCCAGGACCTCGGTAAATATTTTCTTAATATAATTTTACACAATTTCAAAGGATTTTATCATCTTTTAACCTTTCAAAGGACAAGTGTTCAGGCAGTTCACGAAACTCCCCTTCATTTTCACTCTGAACTAAAGACAAAACGCATGTCAGCTACATCCTTCTGCCCAGCTGCACAGCATCATTATTCTCTGGGCTTTCACTCTAGTTCACATTTGGGTACATTTTGAGGTACATAGGCAAGTCATGCAAAGCAGAAAATGCCATGACAGCTCTGGACTTCTAATCTCAGCCATACCATGTGCCATCTTTGGAACACCACAGAGCATGAAGAGGCCTGATCCTGCTTTACGTTGCATAATCAGGTATATTTCCATATCAGCAAGGCAGCCCATTGCCCCACAGTGAGTGCAGCACCAGTCTATTTGGCAGACTGCTAAAAACCGACAGACCTGTTCAAAGTTTGCTCCATCCCAACAGTGCTTCAAGAACAGATCTGGAAGAAGGTATCATCATAGAATCATAGAATGGCTTGGGTTGGAAGAGACCTCAAAGTTCATCAAGTTCCAACTCCCATGCCACAGGTAGAGTTGTCAGCCACTACATCAGGTACTAGATCAGATTGCTCAGAGCTCCATTCAACCTGGTCTTAAACACCTCTAGGGATGGGGCATCCACTACCTCTCTGGGCATTGTGTTACAGCACTGCGTCATTCTCTCAGCAAAAAATTTCTCCCTGACATCTAATCTAAATCTCCCTTGCTTTAGTTTAAAATTATTCCCCTTGTTTTATCACTGCACAGTTGTGTAAGTTGATTTCCCATAATGACTTCCCATTAAAAAAAAAATAAAAAATGTCTGCTCTTCAATTAATGCTCCTATTCTACACTGGGATAAAGCTGAAACTTTTCAAAGATGTTTTTGTAAATAAACAAATAAAACATAAAAACTAAAGCAAAAAGAAAATCAAATCCAGACAGTTCATCTTCTTCTTTCCTTTCCAAGCAATCACAGCCTCAGTTTTGTCCCTGGGAAGGTGATGAAACAGCTTATTCTGGATGTCTTCTACAAGAAAGTGGAAGAGAAGAAGGTTATCAGGAATAGTCAACATAGGTTTCCCAAGGAAAAGTCATGCTTGACCCATCAGGTAGCCTTCTATGATGTCATCACTGGCTGAGTAGATGAGGGAAGAGCACCGCATGTTGTGTACCTTGACTTCAGCAAGGCTTTTGTCACTCTCTCTCATAACATCCTCATAGGTAAGGTCAGAAAGTGTGGGATAAATGTGTGAATGGTGAGGTGGATAGAGAACTGGCTGACTCACAAAGCTCAAAGGGTGGTGATCAGTGGTGCAGTGTCTAGTTGGATGCCTGTAGCTAGCAGTGTTCCCCAGTGGCAAGTACTGGGTCAGGTCTTGTTCTGCATCTTCATCAATGACCTGGAAGAAGGGATAGAATGCATCCTCAGAAGCTTGCTGGTGATACAAAGCTGGGAAGAGTTGCTGTCACACCAGAAGGCTGTGCTGCCATTCAGTGAGACCTGGACAGGCTGGAGAGATTGGCAGAGAGGAACCTGATGACGTTTGACAAGGGTACATGGAGAAGAACAACTGCAGGCATCTGTATAGGTTAGAGGCTGACTTACTGCAAAAGAGCTCTGCAGAGAAGGACCTGGGTGTCCTGGTTGATGACAGGTTGGCCATGAGCCAGCAGTGTGCCTTTGTGGCCAAGAAGGCCAATGGGATCCTTGGGTTCAAGGGAGGTGATCCTCCCCCTCTATTCTGCCCTGATGAGGCCACATCTGGAGTAGTTCTGGACTCTCCAGTTCAAGAAAGACAGGGAACTTCTAGAGAGAGTCCAGCAGAAGGCCACAAAGATGATGAGGAGCCTGGAGCATCTCACTTGTGAGGAAAGGCTGACAGACACGGGACTGTTCAGCCTGGAGAAGAGTGGACTGGGGTATCTTATCAATGATTATAAATATCTAAAGGGAGGGTGTCAAGTAGATAGGGCCAAGTTCTTTTCTGTGGTGTTCTTTTCTGTGCTGTTCTTGTTCTGTCACTGTGCCCAGCAAAAGAACAAGAGGCAACAGGCACAAACTGGAACATAGTAAGTTTCATATGAACAAGAGGAAAAACTTTACTTTGATGTTTTACTTTGATGGTGACACAGCACTGGAACAGGCTGCCCAGATTTTCCCTGTTTCTTATGTGCCCTCCATCTCCATCCCCAAAAAAACATAAACAATATCTTTACCACCAAAATAACTGGTCCAGCAATAACTGTTGAACTGCTTCAAATAAAACCTAATTGGAATGTTAACTGAACTTTGAAAGACAGGGTCAGAATTCAAATCTTCAGTGACCTCATCATGTAACTTTTATTTATGCTAGCCTTCAAGCATCTCTCAATTGCAGAATTCCTGTGGTAAAGGGTATTTTTCGCCTTTGGATAAGAAACTTAGAAGTGGCAGCACAAGTGGTTCTTGAAAGCTTATAAGTATTTGGAGTGCAAGCAGGCAGCAGATCACAATGACACAAAGTTTTGCATTTTACCATGTGGTCTCCAAATAAATAGCTGAAAATTGTTCTAACCATAGGCTTAAATATCAGTTGACCAATGATGGGATGCAGATCTTTCCAGAGAGGCTGCAACTCGATAGTTGTTTTATTCTGCACTACTCAATCCCTACAAATTTTTTTTTTTTTCTTTTGGAATTGTATGCTTCCATAGGAGCTGATTACATTACATATCC